GGGCTTTACTGGACTGCGGCTGAAGATTGCTAGAAGCCAGTTTGGCTGCCTGAGGACGGGATGGGCAATAGCCAGTGATCTGTGGGTTAAGAAGGACATCTTCGACATGGAGAAGCGGTTTCAAAGACACCGCCCGATCGATAAGGCGATGCAATTCAGGCGATGAAAGGTTGTCTTCAACAGCGATAACCACATGACAGACGCTAAACAGAAACGAAATCACCTGAAAAGAGAGTATGAAGAAGCTATTGAAATCGAACCCTTTGTGAACAGGGTAAAATCAACAAGGGGAGTGAAACCATTGACCTGATTAGGTAAACGCATTAGTAAACACAAAATGTATTGCCTTAGCTTTGATTTAATCTACTAGGGTTCGGGCGGGCAGAAACACGGACCCATGAAGCCCACAAATTCGCCCACAACCCAAGAAGTTAACGATCCTCCTACCAAAAACAGCGATGGAGCCAGTCCACTGAAGGGGAGTACGGACTCGCCGACAAAGCAGAAACCAAAGCGAAGGACTATCTCGGACTGAAGAGCCTATTGCTGGACATTTAAACCAGTTTTTAAAGAACAGCATGAGGGGAAGGTTCGTATTACTTGCTAACCTGAATTGCAGACATTTCTGAGAAGAAATCGGAAGACCATTTGCCAGGACCAGCACAGACGGTCATCGACCGATCACTCCGAGTTACTTCTTCTAGCTTGCCACCACTGTTTTCGTTGGCAGTCTGGGCGTAGATATCTGTAACAGACCATGACAGAAGCGGCTAAAATGATAAATCTAGCCACAGAAATCAAAACCTGTGTGTCCAATAGTATCACTCTGTCCTGAGTTATGTACATATCGATTCCAGTCGTGGCCGGATTATTGTTCACTAAGGACTGAACTGTCTCGACGGGAAAAGGACCATCCAGAGGACCACTAGGCTGGTCAAGACGGTTAGCCATAAGGTTGAGAATGGAAGACTTTCCCGATCCCTTAGCATACAGGGTAAGCTGACGGAAGGGGCAAATACCTGTGTTCCGATCACACCAATCACCATAAAGCCAGAATTTTCAATGAAGTAGTCACGAAGTCCAGGTATGTCCGAAAACTTTAAGTCCGCATCAACTAATTTGACTGGCACAGTCATTGGGTCGTCACAGAGTGCATATAAATCGTCAATCGCGTTAACTGCCTCAACGTCGATGTCTGGTGGAGGATTTTGGAAAAACCGGAAAACTCCATGTTGGCGTGCTGCCTTTTGATGGAAAATAACTGGTAAATACAATCATGTAAGGCACCTTCGAATCCGACATAGTCTTTCTTGAAGAATACCTGTGTCTCCTTGGGACTAATCAATGGGAACAATTTGCGGAATGTTACCACCGGCTATCATGCGATTGGTAATCAGCCTGCTAGCGACTCAAACGATGAACCCGCACCGAAATTCAGCCAATAAAAAGTTAGTCGTAGTCAAAGTAATGAGCAAGGCCTTGTAGTTCTTCCTATTATGAGATGGTTTGAACATCTCGGAGTTCTCCAGGTGAGTCTGCATTAATGTTGCTGTCCAGATGTAGCCAGACTTATGAGATTTATGAACAAGACAGCGCGTTCCCACACAGCATGGCTGATCATTGCCATGCGGATTTTCAGATGGCCTCCTTCACGGCGCATTCGGCCCACAAAGTTACTGACAACTTCTCCGTCTGTTTTAATTTCCTGTGGCGCCCAAGGCTACAGCGTGCGTCGACCCTCTGAATTAACCTGTCATCATATATACCTCTATGTATCCTAACTGTAGTTCGGATTCCTTATAACCCACCTAAGCCACAGCCAGTGAGAAGTTACCTGTCGCACATTTACACCAGAACGATTGTTTCGAATACAGGGCACGAGGATACATTATAAAAGGGTACATCACACATAGTTTTGAAATTACCATGCCCTAGCTTCTGCGGGCAGTTTATATTTTCGTCTGTCGCATTCACCTGAAATCCTAACCCTCAAGCAGATTCCTGTCGATTCCTTCAAATTGTCTCAAAACATGTGTATCTGAGCCAGCGATTGCCCAAACTCCTACGTCATTGACTTTGCATTTGGTCAGTCTACTTTTCACACCGTTTTGCTGCACGGAATTTTAGAATGCTTAATCTGTTCACTTTCTCCGTACTGACAACGGTGCTAAGATTTCATAGGGAAAAGTTGGCAAGATTCCTAAAAACCATATTTTTGCTTCTCAGTGTCCATACCTGGGCCTTCGATCTCCCTTACAAATTGGCAGAAGTCCGAAGGCAGATCCGTCATATAATCACTTCGATAATCCCATAGAAATTTATATTTTCTCAATCACCCACGCTGATCTTCTCCTACCCTTACGTCTAACATTCGGAAGTTATTCAAAATTCAGTGTCTAGTATAAATGAATAGATAATTTTATTGAGTACCATTAAGGATATATTCATAGCAGCTGAAAATAAATTTTCAAATAAATGTTGGAAAAAGTAAACAGGTTCTGTACGGTATTCAGTCCGCGGTTATAGAATAGGTAGTCACACATTAAAATTGGTCTGTAAGTAGAGAAAAAAACTCCTTATAAAAAGGACGAAATTAATATTAATTCGTTAAATTTTAAGGAGAAAACTGCTACCGCTAATAAAAGGCTAGATATAGAACAGATTAGAATAGATTTATCATAGCGTCCCTTGGGCACTGTCAGTCCTCTTGAACTCAGGGAAAAATCCAATAACGAACTCATCCATTTTGACTACGCGTTGACTTCATCCGTTTAAGGTGTCTATTTAGCCAATAAAGCGCTAATTAAGAGTTCTTTAAGTTAAAAAAACCTGACTTCCAACGCAAAATGATCGTAAAAGTTTTTTTGAAATGAAACGATGTATACAGTATAAAATTAAAGTGCGCAGTTTGGTAGTTTTCCGAGGCATGTATCATAAGTCCTTCATGTGATATTGGTGTGACTTTGAAATTATTTTCGAGTTCAGTAAATACGGCTTTCTTCTAGTTGCCGGTAGTCAGTCAATCTTGTAACGTCCCTGATCCGATAGAGGGCGAACTCCAAGGAGAATTGAGGCAATATATAAAGAAATAATTAGACGTGTATTACATTGAACCTACTGCGGTTCTCGCTTATGGCCTTATGTACGCAGATAGGGCCGCAGGAGCCTTCGATTAACAGCAAAGTCGGCAGACGACAGACAGCCGGAGCTCGGGCATCCTACTTCCTTCCTTGGTTAGCTTTCTGGCGTATTTATAGGACCTCAGGCGTTAAAGTAGTCCTCAGTTTCGAATCCGGCGTTGTGATTGATCGAGTGGCATTGGGAAAAGAAAATGGAGCAAACTTGAGTCATCATCCTCCTCTTCTCCCGCCTCTTCCTCCTCCTGCCCCACTGCACCAACCACGGCCGCTCTGGTGGCCGTCACTCACACCAGCATCACACACATCCATGACACAACAGCAGACACCATCCCTCCAACCTCCGACTCCAAGGGTGAGGACCAGGACTACACCTGCCCTCACTGCGACCGCACCTTCACCTCACATATCGGCCTGGTCAGTCACCTGCGAATCCATCGCACAGAGACTGACGAACCAGTGCCAAGAGCACCAACCTACACCCACCGCACTCGCCTCCACTGCCCACACAGCCCTCGCACCTTTACGCATCGCATGGGCCTATTCGGCCACACGCGCATACACGACGACCTGCGGTAGACAACCGCCGGTTACACCACACTTCCACACACACTCCCTACCTTCCTCCACCATCACCACCACACATCAACACTCACCCACCGTATGCACCAACTGCCACCCCCACGCAGGTGGGAAGTGTGCATCTCGACTCGGTCCCCATGCGACTTCGGCTGCACGGGTGACTTGAGTCTGAGACTATCCCGACACCTCAAGCGTCGTGGACAGGAAGGTTGCTGATTGCCGCCCGCTCTCGGTTCACGCAGTTCGTCGCGTTGTGTGTGTGTGTGCGACACATGCGTGGCCACATGCGCATCCACGAGAGCGGCATTGACCGCAATTCCGATACAGCCACGACATCCAACACGCCCAGACCCATCCTCGCCCCACCGTCACGCGCGCCGACCACCACCACTGCCACCACCAACACCACTGCTTCCTCGACAGCTGACACCGACACCGCCGACCTCTCATGCCCACATTGTCCACGCACCTTCACCTCACGCATCGGCCCGGTCGGTCACTTGCGAATCCATCGCACAGAGACTGGCCAACCAGAGCCTGGAGTACCAACCTACACCCACCGCACTCGCCTCCACTGCCCACACTGCCCTCGCACCTTCACGCATCGCATGGGTCTTTTCGGCCACATGCGCATCCACAACGACCTGCAGTAGACAACCGCCGGTCACACCACACATTCCCTCACTCCCTACCTCCTAACATCATCACCCCACTAGACGTCAACCCTCACACACCTCATGCACTCAACTGCCGCCTCCCACGCAAGTGGGAAGTGTGCATCTCGACTCGGTCCCCATGCGGCTTCGGCTGCACGGGTGACTTGAGTCCGAGACTATCCCGACACGTCCAGTGTCGTGGATAGGAAGGTTGCTGATTGACGCCCGTTCTCGGTTCACGCAGTTCGTCGCGTTGTGTGTGTGTGTTGTGTAGTGGCGGACTGGTGGGCTGGGGACGGGCTGAAGCAGCACCTTCCACGGCCCTCTCACGCATGTGAGAGACACGCCGTTCAACCCCCGTTGTGTGAAATCCTGGTGTTTGTGTGTATGGGGGGCCAGGTCGTGCTGTGGCGCGCGCAGGCATGGTCAGTCGACCATGTCAGCCACCGCGCCCATTCCCCACTCCAGTCTACTGACCGGCTCGGACAGTGGCTGGGGTGTGGGAATGGGAAGGGAGAGTGAGGTCGACGACTCAGCGCATTTTCTCCTCACTATAAACAATCTGACGCGCTTGAAGCTATCACGGTGCGCTAAAAGCCGTGGCTTGGAAGGTTGCCAACTGACGGGGTACCTTGGACATCCTCCTTAACGGGAGGCGGTCTGAGAGTCAGGCTGCAATGGCTCCTTTTTAATGTGGCCTTTATGGCATTCCCACCACAGTGTGGGATCCGAGCCAGGCGTTGGCGGCACGCCCAGGTGCGGCTTCGGCCGTGCCAGCCTCCAAATCTATGTTGTGTTGGTTCAAATCCTGGTTATTGTTGTGTGGACCAGGGGGTGTGGTGGAACGCCAAGGTGAGGATCCGTCCGAGCCATCCACCTGCGGCCTCCCTCGTCTCCGGTCTTCTTGACTCTGTCTTGACACCGGACCCTGGCGGAGGAGGAGGAGAGAGTGTAGGTAGATGCAGCGCAAGTCTACCCGCACTATAAACCCCTGCGCAAGTCACCGTCCCTGCTCCCACCTGGTGTGGGGCACGCGGTGGACATCGTCGAAATCGACGGTCGAACTGTCAGTGTTGTGTGGAGTGGCGGATTGGTGGGCTGGGGACGGGCTGAAACAGCACCTTCCATGGCCCACTCATGCAAGTTTGAGACACGCCGTTCAACCGCCGTTGTGTAAAATCCTGGTGTTTGTGTGTAGGGGGGGGGGCAGGTCGTGCTGTGGCGCGCACAGGCATAGCCAGTCGACCGTGTCAGCCACGGCGCCCATTTCCCACTGGAGTCTGCTGACCGGCTCGAACAGCGGTTGCGGTGTCAGTCAGTCAGTCAGTGTATTTGAGTGAAATAGGCTTACGCCTTTGAACTCCCTATTTGTACATAAAAAATCGATAAACAAGCAAAAATGTGAAGAAATTACAGCATTAAGTGAATGCATACATTGGTTCACATATGTCACTAGTCACATGGTTAAAAAGTCACATAGTCCGCTTGTTGCTGCAGCATATATCTGTCAAGGCGACATTTAACTGTCTCCACAGATTGAGACATAACAACCGTCTCGGGCAGGTTATTCCACGGTTCCACGACACGGTTGGAGAAGAAATATTTTCTCACATTCAGTCTACCTTGTGGCACACGTAGCTTAAATGGATGTCCTTGGAGGTGAGTTGTAGTGGCGAGTTGGAAAAAGTCATCGCACCGAAGGGCACAATCCAAGCCGCGCACGATACGGAAAGTTTGTATCATGTCTCCGCGCAACTGCCTATAACTCAGAGGATAGAGATGAAGGTTAGTTAAGCGGATCTCGTATGGCAGTGCACTTTGACCTCTTACTAATTTTGTGGCTCGCCTCTGCACCCTTTCGAGCAGATCGTAATCCTGGTGCGTCCACGGTCTCCAGGCCTGAATTGCATATTCGAGATGGGGCCTTATAAACGTGCCGAAGACTTTGGTGAAGCAGTCTTCATCGAAAACTACGAATGCCCGCTTGATGGCATATAGCATGGAGGTTGCGGCCTTGGCCGCCTTACAGCATTGTGTAGAAGGCTTTAGGCTGTCTGCAACCCAAACTCCGAGATCTTTCTGAGTTTCTGCTTCTCGGAGTGGCATTCCGTTCAGGTGGTATTGCCACGTACTAGGGGTCTGATTTCCGAGGCGCATAATGGTGCATTTGTTCAAATTGAAGGACAAGAGCCATCTGCGGGACCACTCGTCCAACCCACAAAGATTTTCTTGGAAGTTGGTCTCAACGGCAGCATTCTGGATGACTTTCCAGATTTTTATGTCATCCGCAAACATGGCACAATCACAGTCCAACCCATCTACGCAATCATTTATGAACAAGAGAAAGAGAGTTGGTCCGAGCACCGAGCCTTGTGGGACCCCACTCTCTATGAATGTGCACCTTGATTGCTGTCTTTCTACGCGGACAATTTGGGAGCGGCCGCCAAGGAAATTTTCGATCCATTTGAGAAGTTTGCGACCGATACCCATAATTCTCAACTTGTGTAGGAGACGCTGGTGCGGAACACTGTCAAACGCCTTCCGAAAATCAATGTAGGCAACATGCACGGTGTGTTTTGCGTCCAGTGCTCGTGTCCAACTTTGCATTGTGTATAGCAAGTTCGTAACACATGATCTTCCCCTACGGAAACCATATTGTGCATTGGACAAGAGGTTGTGGGTTTCCAAGTAAGCCATCAATTCCTTTTTGATTGTTTTCTCCATCACTTTGCAGCAGATTGATGTCAGACTGACGGGTCTGTAGTATGTCGCCTGAGCACGACTACCGATTTTGTAAAGGGGTGTAATGTGGGCCGTCTTCCAGTCTGTGGGAAGCATTCCAACATCAAACGATTTCTGGCACAGAAAGGATAGTGGCTTGGCCAGCTGTTGGACAAGCTCAAAGAGCAGCTTTGCTGGGATCTCGTCCGGACCGGGAGATTTACATTCCTTCAAGCTTTTCAGTTCTTCCAAAATCGCTTCTTCTCGAAACACAATATTTTCGATAGTGGGATCTCTCATGTTCTCAGAATTAGATGGGGTAAAGTCCGCTTCTCTTGTGAAAACGGATCGGAAAAATTGATAAAATTGCTCAGCCTTATTTGTACTGTCCGATATCTCCAAGCCGTCATCACCCCTCATAACAGGAATGGGATTCCTGTTACGTGTGCTTTTCCGCAAATAGCTGTAGAGCAATTTCGGATTTTTAACGGCTCGGTGGAGCAAATTACTCTCAAAATCCCGTCGCCTCCTGAAAATCATGCCTTTCACCTTATTTCTTTGAATTTTGTATTCTGTAAACGCTGCATTATTGTTGTTCTCGCGAAATTTTTTCCATAACCTACCTTTCTTGTTGATCTCCCTTTTGAGTTCTCGTGTAAGCCACTGAGGGCGGTTGGATGTCCTAGGCTTTGATAAGGGACAGTGGTTCTTCATTAGATGCAGTAAACGATCCTTGAATAAATTCCAGTCCTCGTTAACGTTTCCGGAGAAGAGAACATCCCAGTCTATTTGTGATGCCTCAGAAGATCCACCGGAGTCGTCTGGGGTTCTATACTCCCGTTGTGGCGCTTACCCTTTCCATCTTGCCATGAGCTTGTTTCCTCACTTCCAACTGAGGGTCCTATTGAACACGCGGAATGGCTGAGAGAAGTTGATGGCTCGCTTGGGTTGTCCCCCATAGAAGCAAGAGACTCCGTTGCTATTTTCCCATCGTCCTGGGTATCGGCGCTCTTGCACAGAGGTTTTCCACATGCTTTGTTCTTTGGCTGTTTTAGAGTTTTGCTCTTTCCCTTTTTCTTGCTAACTGGACGTGGGTTCGAATCCCACTTGCGGCGAGTTTTTCGCACATTGTCCTGATGGTGTTTTGTCGACTCCCATTATTAATTCAAACGACACGCAAGGGATTCTAGGTATGGGCGAAGTATTTAAAGGTGTAGGAGAAGCTTTTTAACCAAGCCAAAAATATGAAGTAAATATCAAACGACTCAGCCGCTTCTGGATCTGGAGAACCCCGCGGTGCTGTTGGCAGAGAATTGATACGAAGGAGTATGGTCGTCCCAAAGAAAGTTCTGTCGGAGTTCTGAGTGGATCGTTCGAGGAATTGCTGATTACGCTTCAATTTCTTAATCAAAATGGGCCCGCAGAGCGTGCAGTAGGCTGAAATCCCGGAAAAAGCAAATCCCTCGGAGGTAGAAATTTCAAACCGAATTCGAAAGGGAAGGGAGAGTGAGGTCGACGACTCAGCGCATTTTCTCCTCACTATAAACAATCTGACGCGCTTGAAGCTATCACGGTGCGCTAAAAGCCGTGGCTTGGAAGATTGTCAACTGACGGGATAACTTTGACCTCCTCCTCGACTGGTGGTGGTCTGACAGTCAGGCTGCAATGGCTCCTTCTTAATGTGGCCTTTATGGCACTCCCACCACAGTGTTGGATCCGAGCCAGGCGTTGACGGCACGCCTGGGCACGGCTTCGGTCTTCCCAGCCTCCAATTTCTGTTGTGTTGGTTGAAATCCTGGTAATTTGTTGTGTGGACCAGGGGGTGTGCTGGAACGCCAAGGTGACGATCCGTCCGAGCCATCCACCTGCGGCCTCTCTCGTCTCCGGTCTTCTTTACTCTGTCTTGACACCGGGCTCGGGCGAGGGAGGAGGAGAAAGTGTAGGTAGATGCAGCGCAAGTCTACTGGCACTATAAACCCCTGCGCAAGTCACCGTCCCTGCTCCCACCGCTGCTGCAGATATGAGGAACACGATGGACATCATCGAAATCGATGGTCGAACTGTCGTTAAGTAACTTAATATGAAACCCAAATTATATCAAAGAAGACACTATGTTTTGACTTACCAAAATGCATAGACCTAATTGGTCCTGCAACCACCAATTCTATAAGTAGTTGTAGCGATTGCATGCGCCCCTGCAGGGCTGGTGGTGTAGGTTACAGTTCATTGCAATCTGGCCCGCTGCTAGGGAGCGCTCACACAGTTTGTTCGTGCTTTTCAGGAGGTTTGTCATTATTGTCTAGACTAAGAGCTGGAAAAGGTGAATAAATGGTTATATACGAAGTCTATATGGTTATATATGAAGTACCAAAAGGACTCAGGAGCTCATCCCTGCCCTCAGGTCTGCAGATGGAAAAGTGGAGATTGATGACCAGGTTAAAGCGTCCCTCCTTTCCGACTTCTTTCAGTCCGTCTTCACCCGAGAACCTAGTCCTATATTTGCCCATCCATCCATTCGCCAACCAACCTCTCCTCCCAGTACCCTTTCGTGAACTTGCTAATGAACTGTGCAAACCCTTATCCGCAATATTTCAAAAGTCATTTGAAGACGGCGAGCTCCCGGATGAATGGAAGTGCGCACTCATTACTCCGATCCATAAAGGAGGCTCAAGACTTGACTGTGGAAATTATCGTCCTGTCAGTCTTACTTGCATCGCGTGTAAAGTAATGGAACGCATTATCAAAAGACACTTGATGAAATACCTGGAACAGAACAAAATATTGTGCGATGCCCAGCACGGCTTTCGTCCAGGGCGCTCCTGCCTAACGAGTGTCCTTTACTCACACGAGAAATGGACACGAGCTACCGATAAGGGTTTTCCAGTAGATGTCATATTTTTTGACTTCAAGAAGGCCTTTGACAGTGACCCACACAGGCTTCTTTTACAAAAGATCTGGGATGTAGGGATTCAAGGGAGAATGTTTAAGTGGATCAGGAGTTTTCTGTCCTCCAGACTACAAAGAGTCGTCGTTAGTAATTCTGCCTCGGAATGGGTAAAGGTGGAAAGTGGTGTCCCACAGGGTTCTGTTTTAGGTAATGTTCTCGATAAAATTGAGGAAGGGTTAACGGGAATATAGGGCGCCACCGCTAAATTACCGAATGCGCCCGAATTTCCTTCTGTGCGCGTTGATTCGCGTTCTGTGATCGCTAATCATCAGCTCCGATTTTTTTTCGTTTTTTTAGTCCCCGTCCCATATCCTTCACAGAATGCGATGTCCTCCCTAACAAATCATTTTAAAGAAGTAGTAAGGCCATGTTGACACGTCACGAAGCCGTCTCCTTTGTACTGATCGTCAACCGTTATCGGGATTCCAATCCAACCTCCGAGATTTCGAGAACTCACTCCCGATGTCAGTCCCATCCTGGGTTTGCCACCACTTAAAAACTCCGTGCTCTGATCTTATCTCTGTGAAGAACTTACCCTGCTCTTCTGTATCCGCTCGTGATCGATGATTTTTGCGGGTGTTAAAGCCAACTCCCCAACTTGTCCCCTCCCCGGCAATCTGTTGACGATCACGGCGGATCCCCCTGTTTTGCCACCCGCATGTTGTTTGGTTGGTCAACAAAGATCTCATGGTCGCAGGTCTCATGATGACCCCCGGAACATTAAATATCCCCTCATCGCCTGGACTCTATGTGGGCTGCGGACTATTGGGTCTGGCTTCCTTTTACCTCACCACTTTGTCGCTGGTAAACTTATCCGGTTTTTGAATTCTCACTTGACGATATATATTTCGAATACGTTATACACTTTGATACGCAGGCCAGTCCTGTCCGACCCGCGCATTAATCCTTTTGTAGGCGACAGGTTTTCTCCTCAAAAGCTAATAAAATCATCTTGTCTATTTCAAAAAGGCGAGGAGTTTACTCTACAGTTAGCTGACCGTTTTTAATGTTCGACTGCAGGTGTCAGCATGTAAATAAATAAATAATTTTTATTAAAGACCCGTCGAGATCCCATCAAAGTAAGTAAAAATAAATGAATATGTGAGTTTCAGACAAGGTGGGCAGAGTCTGTACAAAATGCAATTCATAGTTTCTGAATTTGTAGTCTGTTAGGAAAAGTTATGAGCGAGCAGTGAAAAAACCACTACTTTAAAAATTTCAGCCGGATTACGAGCCAAAAGAGCGAATGAAAATGAGAGAGCTGATGACGGAGCTGGAAAAGCGGAGAAACAGCGGCGAAACACACCTAAAAATCAAGAATGGACAAATAATTCAGGTCCAAAGGACATTTCTCAGGCCGAAGGCCGTCATTCTGACAGCCTAACCGATGCAAAGGTGCCAACTCCTGAGGCTGCTCGAACCAGTGGCCGCTGTCTAGAAATCTACTACACTAATTGTCAGAGTCTTCTCAATAAGCTAGATGAACTCAGATTACTAGTTTCTGAACAGATGCCACACATAATTGTCCTAACAGAGACATGGTTGACTGAGGAAATTAGTAGTAGCGAAGTCAGAATTGAAGGCTACCAACTGTTCCGTTGTGACAGATTTCACCGTAGAGGTGGAGGCACAGCTATTTATGTGTCAAATGAAATAGCGTGCTGTCAACGAGAAATATCCGATGGTGCGCCCCGAAATTTTGAAATAATTTCATGCAAGATATGCATCAAACAATTACCGACACTGAACCTGTGTGTTGTCTATAGGCCTCCCAGCTCGAATGAAATCGCCGATATGGAATTACTTAGTGTACTGGAGTTGTTATGTAAGCAGGAGAACTTACTACTTCTGGGTGACTTCAACGCTCCAGGAATAGATTGGAACATTCCCCTAACAAACGCCCCGTCCACGTCATTTGACCACAAGCTACTACAACTCTCCCTGAATGAATACCTCATTCAGCACATAAAATTCGGAACAAGAATGAGAGAAGGACAACGATCTAAGTGTTTAGATCTCGTTTTCAGTAAAGAAGAAGGACTCATAAAGGAAGTTAATCCACAACCTCCACTTGGTTTAAGCGATCATATTGCTTTTACCTGCGTGTGCCCTCTCCTATCCAACCAACAACCAAAAATCAAGACGCGCAGAAATATTTGGAAGGGTGACTTTAACGCAATGAGACGCACTCTTTTGGAGGAAACCTGGTTGGTCAACACAGAAGATTCAGACGGATTTTGGCAGTACTTTCGCGGGGTTATAGAGCGTCTGACTGATTCCCATTGTCCAATAAAAATGACAAGACCATGTATGCGACCACCGTGGGTCAATCCGACGACAAAAAAGACCATGAAGAAGAAGCAGAGACCCTGGAAAAAGTATTTGCAACTTCGAGATCCAAGGTCACTCGCCGAATATAAAGATCAGCGCAATAAATGCCGCAAAGAAATACGGGTTGCTAGAACTTCTTTCGAGCGTCGAATGATAGCAGAATCCATTACACGTCCCAAGAAGTTTTACGGGTACATCCGCAGTAGGAGGAAACATAGGGACGAAATTGCGTGTCTAAAGGATAGCCTCGGAAACTTATTAGTTGAAGGGTCACAGATAGTGCGATTACTTTCTCAGTTTTTTCAATCGGTTTTTACGGAGGAGTCCCTAGAAGACAATCAGCAGTTTGAAATGGACCGAGACAGCCGGGAGCTTAAAATGCGCCAAAATATTGCCGTCATTATAACCGTTGCCTTTTCCGTGGAAGAAGTCAGACGCGTCCTCAGTCAAATAAAACCTGATAAGTCTCCTGGACCCGACGGAATCCCCGGGCTGATACTTATGGAGCTATCAACGGAGCTGTCAAAGCCTCTTTCAACTCTCTTTGAGCTGTCAATGAGAACAGGAAGGCTGCCCTCACAGTGGAAGACAGCTAACCTCGTTCCATTGCATAAGGGAGGTAGCAGGATGACAGCAAGCAGCTTTAGGCCTATTAGCTTAACTTGCCTCCCTTGCAAAACGATGGAAGCTATAGTAAAGAACGCTATACAGCAATTTTGTGAAGAAAATAACATCTTGCAGGATTTTCAACATGGCTTCCGGAGAGGACGTTCCTGCCTCTCAAATCTGCTAGCTTGTCTGGAGATCTGGACCAGGGCTCTAGAAGAGGGTTTTGAGGTCGATGTCGTATACATCGATTTCCGCAAAGCTTTTGACACTGTCCCACACCAACGTCTTCTTCACAAATTGAGCGACATCGGCATCCAGGGAGATCTTCTGAACTGGATTAGGGCGTTTCTGGTTGGTCGGAAACAACGTGTCTGTATCGGGGATGACATGTCAGAATGGGTGAATGTGACCAGTTGTGTGCCGCAAGGCTCAGTTCTGGGACCATTGCTCTTCATCCTTTACGTTAACGACAGCCTTCAGGAAATCGACTGCGGCAAAATAATGTTTGCAGACGTCGTTAAGCTCTGCCAAATCATTAAGGGTCCGCATGATCAGAGATCCCTTCAAGATGATCTGCACCGACTGCAAGCGTGGTCGAAGAAATGGATTCTGGATTTCAATGTGGAGAAGTGTGCCGTCCTTCATCTGCGTCCAACCAACTCTCATTCAAATGAGAGTCTGAGGACTTATCACCTGAAAGATATAAGGCTCCCCGCAGAATCTTCACAGAAGGATCTCGGAGTTTGGATACAGAACAACCTGAAACCAACACTGCAGTGTCACAAGGCTGCAAAAAACGCCATGGGAGTGCTGCATGCAATAAAAAGGGCTTTCGTAAATTTTGACCAAGACCTTTTTGGGGGAGTTTACGGCACATTTGTTCGGCCCCACTTAGAATATGGCATACAAGCATGGCGGCCATGGCTGGTAAAATACCAAGAATGCCTCGAACGGGTACAACGGCGTGCAACAAAGCTGGTAAACGGTCTAAAAAGCCAATCCTACACAGACAGACTGAATTGCCTTAATTTATTCCCTCTGTGTTACAGGCAGCAAAGAGGTGATCTTATCCTCGTCTACAAGATAATACATGGCCTTGAGTATGGGCTTAAATTTGAGGACATGTTTCAGTGGCACCTTTCACCCAATCTTCGTGGTCACTCGATGAAGTTACGGACAACAATGTCCAGGCTGAATCTTCGTTCTGAATTTTTCACGCAGAGGGTAGTGGAGAAACGGAACGATCTCCCTCAGTCAGTCGTGGAGGCTACATCCCTGCAACTCTTCAAGAAACGCTTGGATGATTATTTGTGTCCCCTGTTTTCCCTCGACGGTCTGAATCTGAACTAATACCCCTGGTCCCCACAAATATTTCCTCTGAGACAATGCTACTCAAATGAACCATGTACTGTTTTTATAGCGAATATTTTTTGTTCGTGTACAGTTATTTCTAACGAGCTGATATGCAATCAATAGGGTTTTCAAAGGCTTTGCCTATTATCCTTACCAAATAAACTGAAATAAACTGAAACTGAAATTTTACAGGAGAGAAAAGCCTTCGCCCATAATAACACAAAAATGCGGACAGGAATGGCCTGCAGGCAGCGGTATATAACGGATTATAGTCGGACATCGTCATCGTCGCCTTGGGGGAGGAACGTTTGCAGTATACTTAGCAGCCAGTTCAAAACGGGGGGTTGTGAAGATACAAATAAAGGTCTTCAATTGATCTGCTTCAAAATCAATAAATCTACCACTAAATCCCAGGAGAACTCTTCTCATAGTGAAGAAACTCAGCATTCGGGAAGGCGATCGCTCAAAGGGCCTTTATACTTTCTGATGTAAGGTATTTGCATAATTTCGACTAGAATACCAGTAACTTAGGCGATGACCTAATTTCTGGTGCAAGACTATTCCAAATGAAGGCATATTTGGAAGCAGAGTAGAGGGAGCGCTTAGATGTAATGCAAGGAGAAGGCGGGTTCATCATGAAGGAGTTGCGTACCACATAAGACCGATCTCTCGGAGTGAGAGTGTCAACGAGCGAAGGACTGGAGTTAAAGTTAACGCGAGAAAGGAAGCAAAGGCCGGCTTCGAGTATCCTAACCCAAAAAACTTAATGTCCGCCATCTGACATCTCCGAGTATAAGAAGTATCGGATGAGACTTGGGAGAACAGTTTCTAGGGTGAAAACCTTCTAACCATTTTCGATTTTATTACGGTCACAGGCGTTCATAAAATCGATAAACCGATTCGAGGAATGAAAGAACAAATATTTGATAAGGTCTTACTTTCATTTCCGGAGGGCAAAAATTTTACAATATGACTCCACCTATCTGCGCGGTTTCGGCAGAGATTCTATCTGCATGAGGTGATAAAGCTGGCTTTTTTGATGAATTAAACTTAGGTCCTTTATGAGAAAGCAGTTTGAGGGTGGGTTAGTCTGAGAATGTATGTGACCAGGTAGTTTGGCAGGACCGAAAACATGAAACCTCACTTGGATGATGAAAACTCCATCTGGCATGTCGAACTCCATCTGCTTAGGCGTGTTAATTCGGCAGTAACTTTTTTCAGCAAAAACATTTGCGGTGTCCTTAGAATATGGATAAGCACACTTGAGGTAATTAGCATGAACAAGAGTTTGCAAATTTCTGAGTTCTTTCTCAATATCATTGATATAAAGAAGGAAGAGTAGCGGACCCAGAACCGTCCCTTGAAATGCGCAACTCGTGATCGAGTGAGGTGTCGTGTAGCTATTTAAATAAATAAATAAATTTTAATTTAATGCCAGTTTACAGGCATTGTCAAGGGAAGCGATTAAACACAAATCCGACCAGCAGTGAAAAAAAACTCCTGAGCTTAAGGCATAAAAATATAGTTGATGGTGGTTTTTGTGG